GTGTGTACATTAATGAGGAAAAAAAAATAACTTAAATGATTTTAGCAAATGGCTGCAATATAACAAAGAGGGAAAAATGTAAGGGGGTCTGAATACTTTCCGTACCCACTGTATATATATATATATATACTTTTTTTTTCTTTTTTTTTTCTTTATATACAGGGGTTTTGCATGTCTTTCCTGTCTTTTAGTTTAATAATAACAATAATAATTTGTTATTTATAAATTATATTATTTTTATTTATATCAATGTATTTTTTTAGTATATATATATATATATATATATATATATATTATTGTTTAATATTATTATTTATTATTATTACTTTTAATAAACATGGTTTTTGCAGGTCTTAAAAAGTTCTTAACACTAAATTCGTCCTTCCACAAATTAAGGCTTTAAAAGGGCTTAAATCGGAGCAGAAAGTCTTAAATGCATTGTCATGGCATTAAATGTTGTATACATTGCAAAAAAATATCTTCCTCAGTGTTTTGTCTTTTATTTCCCAATGCAAATATCCAAACAGCCTTAAATCAAGACACATTTGCTTTGCTTGAGACAAAAAATGATGAAAATATAAATGCTTGTTTTCTGAGAAAATGAACACAATTAAGTGAGTCTATGCTTGAAACAAGAACAGATGTCTGTCAGTAGGACTTTGAATGAAGTTTTTCTGAGCCCATTGACAAGTTGTTGTTCTTGTTTTAATCAAACTAAATTCATTTTCATCAGCTTTTCAGAAAAATCATTTAGAGACCATATTGACACATTGTGTCCCATTTAATTTATTTCTTAACATTTCTTTACTCGGTCTTAAAAATCTGTACATTTACCTTCATAAAACCTGTATATATTTGACTGTATTATTGCATTTGTATAGTGTTTTTTCAGAGCTCAATATTAGTTCACTTTTAAGATTGAGCTGTAAATATTCACAACATTGATGTTACACAATTCAGAAGTGTGTTGTACCTGTTATGGAAAAAAGATGGAGCAGGAGGCTTGTCTGCTTGTCTTTATTTATATCCATAGTTCGTCCTGGCAGCGTGAGAAACATCATTCAGCAGTTTGAGAATAACCATTGAAGAATTGAAGAAGGGGACAGTGAGGGACAGCAGTTGTCTTCCAGCAGCTTTGGAGAGGACAGCATGGACAGGTCACAGCATGCAGATGTTATATAAGCAGGATATTTCACTTTTAGATGGTTCTCACAAGACGTTCCAGCTTTAATGATTTGATGTTGATTGCATTTGTTTATTCTCCTTCTCAGTCCGACCATATCGGTGCGTTTGGCTCGTAGCGAGTCTTTGAAGGCTCAGGGGGAGGGGCGTCGGCGAGGAGGCGGGACGGGGGCGGAGTCTGTCCCTCGTTCCCGTAGCGATGTGGACATGGAGGACTGTGAGGAGAGGGAGGGGCCGGGACTGAGGCCGTTACATCACAGCGCCTCGTCTTCAGCCTCCAGCAGCTCGGCACGGTACAAACACACAGACACATAAAAAAACCCTCTTTTTTTTAAATTGACAAAACACACTATTCCACATCCTGCTCAATGCTGTACTTCAAACAAACGTGCAAACTGCATGCTATGAACACACACTGTATGATTAATATATGTGACTCTGGAGCACAAAAGCAGTGTTAAGTCGCTGGGGTATATTTGTAGCAATAGCCAACAATACATTGTATGGGTCAAAATTATAGATTTTTCTTTCATGCCAAAAATCATTAGGATGTTATGTAAAGATCATGTTCCATGAAGATATGTTGTAATTTTCCTACTGTAAATATATCAAAACTTAATTTTTGATTAGTAATATGCATTGCTAAGAACTTAATTTGGACAACTTTAAAGATGATTTTCTCAATATTTAGATTTTTTTTTTGCACCCTCAGATTCCAGATTTTCAAATAGTTGTATCTCGGCCAAATGTTGTCCGATCCTAACAAACCATACATCAATGGGAAGATTATTTATTCAGCTCTCAGATCTCAATTTCGAAACATTTACCCTTATGACTGGTTTTGTGGTCCAGGGTCACAAATCTCTGTGCTACACTTTGTGTAAAAGAGTTATAAAGCACAGTTTAAACGGACAGTTTAATTCCCTAAATTAAAATTGGAAATAATAATGATGAAAATGGTAAAGAAAAATGCAAACTCCGTATTGATGAGAGGAACGTTCTGCAGGAACACACACACATTCTCTGTGTTACGGTCGTGTCTTTATTCTGTAAATGTATGAAACGTCTTACATTTATATTCAATCGCACAATTGACTTTTAAACCTGAATTTAACGTCCAATAACAGATATATCAGCAAAATTACTATTATTGCCCTGAATATTACTAATATTTACGCATGCCGGTGCTCGTTCAGTGAAGTCTGAAGTTTAACGCACATGGACGAGTCTTCATGCAAAATAGAAACATTCACGTGAATATGTAACATTTACAGAAAAGGGTATTACAGTAAAATGCAGTGTATGGCCGAGGAAACATTTCTCACACACTCTTAAACGACACATGCATCTGTCAAAGCGCCTGACAGGACGAGCCGTGTTAAATATTACGCTAATGCATTAGCTTGAAGTTTAAAATAAAGCATTCTCATGTTTCGGGCAGCTTGGATCATGCATCTTTCCCGCTGCAGCTAGCTCTGTTTCATTTGCTATTTTTAGATGCATTTCATCCATAGAAATGCGTTATTCACTGTAGTCATTTGACACGACTGGCAGAAGTTTTGCGTGCGCGTTGGGAAGACGCGACCAATCGATAATGACATTCGTTGTTGATTATTTTCATTTAGTGGTCGACCGATATGGGATTTTTAATGGCCGGTGCCAATATTGAGAAATCAATCTGGCCGATATGAAGCCGATATAATACTGTGCTGCGGATCTGATGTCTCACGGTACGTTTGAATAAGATTTTGCTGCATGCCGGCGTGTTATTGTATGTAACACAACGTAGCATCACACTAGAAAGTGAATGACGATTGGTAATTTTACTGTCTGTCAGGTGCTGGCTTCATGTCTCAGTAAAGAGGAAGCACAAATGCACGATGTGGTGTCATAATCCGTTTTGAAAAACATCAGCCGTACGGAAAGACTTATCGGCCGATGCCGATATTCAAAAAAAGGCAGCGGCTATTTGCACTAAGTGTAAATAACAATGGATTCCATTTACACTAAGTGAAAATAGCAGTATTTTTAACAATATGCTATTTACACTAAGTGCAGATAGCGATAGATTCTATTTACATTGTTAAAATAGCAGGATTTTCTGCTATGTATACTACTTGTTGCAAATAGTGGCAATTATCTGCACCTCAGTATTGTAGTACATTATAAAACAGTATTGAGTGGGAAATCTTATTGGGAAAATAAAACTATCCCTACACCTACCCCAACTCTACCTGATACTTTATTTTCAACTTTTTGATTATTTTCTTAATTTTTATTGAAAATAAATGCCTTTCCGATGTGACATGGGATTTGAAAAGGGAGAAAAAAAAAGTTCTGTAAAAGGCGGATTTGAACCAGGGTCGATGGTGTCAAAAAGACTACGATATGCGCTTTACCATCTACGCCGCTGGAGCTGATGATTGTCGGCCATCTTTTATAGTGTTGACCATCCCTATCACACGTTTGTGGGTGGAGCTACTGTAAATAACCTCTGCCAACAAGGCGGGCTATTTGCACTTAGTGTAAATAGACACTCCGTTAAAAAAATTCTAAATATCGGCCGATATATCGGTCGACCACTATTTTCATTATCGGTTTTATCTATTAGTTGTTGCAGCCCTAGAAAAATTATAGATCATTTCCATAAATAAATTCATTAAATTTAGTTTCTTTTGTTTTGAGTTTCTAACTTTATTTGTATTGTTATTTCAGATCGCTGGAGAACCCGACGCCGCCGTACACGCCTCGCTCTCAGCGCAGGTGAGGTTTATTCGCTCTGGCTCTGCTGCTCTGCTCTGTCTCTGCTCGTGCGTCTCATTCTCTGCTGTCCGTCTGTAGGATGCTGGACGCTCCGGTGGCTCTGTTACCAGACGCGCCGGCTCTGGACGAGGACGTGATCGACTCGCAGAACTGGCAGGAGACGGTTGAGCCGCACGTTCTGGCATCACTCAGCTCACGGGAGATCGACCGACAGGCCGTCATCTACGGTACACGCTTACACATGCACACACTGAAGTCAGATCTTATGACATATGTTTGCCTGAGCAAAGGCAGGCCATTTGGAAACCTGTTTGAAAACTGTTTGTTGCTGTTTGTGGTGCAGAAACGACGCGCTTCCAGTTAAGCATCTGCTTTAAAATAAATATTAATGCTTTTATAAAATATTTATATAAAATGCTTTAAAATAAATATTTCAGGTTCAGTTCAGCATCTGTAACATGACGTCAGTTACTGCAGCTCATTTTTAGACACTTATAATGTGAAATACTACAGTATGCACTGATTTAAAGTATACAAGTTTATAATTCATAAACGTTCCATTAACATGAGAGTAAGATTAAATCACTATTAAACGGATAGTTCCGGTCCTTGATTCTGATTGGCTGAGCCGCGTTCGAAGCTGTTGTAAATTACTCTAGTAAAATACACCTTTGTTTACGTTTGTCTGTTGCACTTTGCTGCAACCACAACCGTTTCTGAGGAACTACATTGTTTGGTGGAAGAATACTGTTTTTATTAATATCATTACACTTTATTTGCTGTTTTATTTTGTGAAACCTTACTACATATATGGAATAACCGTTTTATAAAAGCAAAAAGCACGGCTTCTTGGGGCTTATTGCTTTAGTAGCATTTTACGAGGTTTCATTTGTTAGTACTACATTACTTAGCATGAACTAACGATAAAAATACTCCTAAAGCATTTATTAATCTTCAGTTAATTACTAATGCATCATTTAAATCAAAAGTTGAATCAGTTCATATTAGTTAATGGCACTTGTCTAACATAAACTAACAATGCACAAATGTATTTCTATTAACTGACATAAACAAAGATACCGTAACAAATGCATTGCTCATTGTTATTTGATATTGATGCATTAACTAGTGTTAAACAATGGGACCTTACTATGAAGTGTTACCAGATCGCTAACAATATCCAGCATTTTATGGCATGAGACATGGAAAGATTATTTCATTAAAATGATTTTACCTGGAGAACTGATTTGAACAAAATCTGAAAATCAAAAAAGATCATCTACCTAGAAAATTGTTCCCACCTAAAAAAGACAGATTTAGACACGGTTATGGCTCAAATAAAACATCTTGTTCAGGAAGAATTAATAAAATGCTTTAACAAAAATCAGAGCAACATTTATTTTAATTACTTTTTTAAAAAGTCAGGAGAATACATCAGAATTGTTTGATTTGGATTAGCACGTTTCTGCTTTTGAAACATTTCCATTGTTTATTTGTGTTATAAAGGCATTGCTGAAAAAAATATTAAATTTTATTTTATTTTTTAAAATTCAGAAATGCATCCAAATAATTTTCTTTGGTAATGGTCATCATGCTACAGATACGGCTGTACTTCTACTGAGACCAGAACTTGTTTGTTTTATAATGTTATTATGAATTAATGTAATTTGATTTATAACATTTATTTTACAATTTATTAAGCCTGTGTTCAGCATCATTTTACGCTTATACGTTTGAAAGGCATTCAAAAGCACTTCTAAATTAGTGCCTCACATAAATATTCCCCCATTATGTTGTCAATATCTGAGTGAAATAATCACCAAACCGACTGACAACAGTTTAATACTCTGATTGTGTGTCTGTCACATGCTTGAACGTCTTTACTAAATGATATTAAGCGTGTAAATATGTCAGTAAGAATATTAACTGGCTGTTTACAGATGTGTACAGCGTGAAATCTCAATGCCTGACTTCCTGGAATTAATAACCAGCCCAGGGTGAAGCTTAAACTGTGAAATAGGAGAGTTTTTCACTTATCGAGCATCAGATCCGTCAGGCTCTGTGGCTCTGTAATCAGCAGCGTTTCTCCTCCGGCCGGAGAAATGAGCTTCCTGACAATCCCAGACATGCCGGAGATGTTTCGTTTGTTTTAAGATGATACATCTCTGAAAACTATACCAGTCAAAGTCATTTATGATCTCAGATAGCCTCGAGCCTCAGACTTCAGTGTGTTTATGGGCTACATGGAAAAACGGGACCAATTTTAAGAAATTGTAACCCAAATCTTAGGTTGTTTTGAGATGCACGTCCTGACGTCACTTGGCATGATGAGAACAAACTCAAGACAGATTTGAGGAAATTAGACTGTCAGCCCCTTGTCAGGTTTTGGTGCATTTTACATGGAGCCCAGGTACAATTCTCCAAATGTTGCTTGTTAATGTAACCAGCAATTAATTCTACTTTATACTAGCTGTGTTTCCGTCAACGTGTTTTATGCAAATATTAAAAATAAAATAAAACACCAAGATGCACATCAAATCTTAAAATGTGCATTTAAGAAATATTTTTATCTGCTTTGTTTAATCCTGTCCCATCACGCATCTTAATGCATGATACTGTAGCGTGTTTCGATTTGTCTGCATTGAGTCATTCATTATTAGGAAAAAAAGAGCCCAGCTTCTGTTTTTGTTGTTGATAGGTTGCACCAGTTTCCCAGGAGTGACACATTTGGTCTCTTGAGCTCAGTGCTTTATTTGCTAATGTTCGATATTCCATATTTTCCGAAAAGTTACATTTTGTTTTATGCGATATTTCAGTTTTACGTAAAGTTAAATATCCAGCTTTGTTGTATGTGATATTCCAATTTTTTTAATTGTTTTTTACATACATGTTAAATATTGCAACTTTGAATGGAAACATAGTTACTGTCTTATCCTATAATGATAAAATACCCAACATGTTACAGATAAATTATGCTGTACATTGCAAATCACAGGATTTTACTCCAGCTACGTTTCTCTTCTTTTCTATCCTCGACACATAAACATGTTGAACTTTCACTGGAGTTTGTGCTTTTTTGTTAGATATCGTAATATCCTTTTACCTAGGGCTGGGCCGATATGGCAAAAAAATTAAATCTCGATTTTATTTAATTTTTTTTCCACTTGAAAATATAACTACAATATGATTCAAGTAACTTTTTTTCTTTATCAACCCTCTAGTTGATAAAGTGCACCGCACATGATTTGTGAAATGTTAAACAAATCACTTGTTAAATATCTTTGCAGAAAAGATGCAACTACATAGTACAAACTTGTCTTATATATATATATATATATATATATA